AAACAGCACTTCAAACACTTTCCGTCTACGAACTCGATAAGGCCATGTATTCGCGAAAAATAGAACGCACCTAACAAAGGTCCAGCGAGCGCATAGGTAACTGTGTCACTGGTAAACTTTTACCCCACTGTCAGGGCCACAGACATCTTAGATATCTTTTTGTTATTTATATATAAGTAAAACATTCTCCTGTGTTTCGTTTGCTTTAGTAGGGGTTTTACGGCGTAAGGTCATATGAGCGCCAAGGATTGGATTTCAACAGAGAAGTTCTTAGCTAGTTAGAATGAAGGTGAGCGACAGATAAACTATCACAAAAAAGTCAAGGAAAAATGATCAAAGAAAGATCTGAAAAACAGTTTAACCGAATGTATTCATTTTTTTAAAGGATGCTTTTGATTCTCTAGATTAAGTGTGTACTATTTCAGATTTTAAACAACAACGAGAAGTTCATGTAATATGAGTTAAAGTCCGACTGGTCGAATTAAAAAAACCCTGAAGACTCATAGTTTTTCATGAACATTGTCAATAGTGGATGTGGCCACCCCATCTGATCAAACACTCAGTACAGCGTCGACACATGGGCATGACATGCCTTCAGAGAACTTGTTGCGGTAGGTCCTGCCACTCCTAGACGAGGTAGCTCAAGAGTTGTTTTAAATTTTGTGCAGGATGGTGTTTGTCCCTTTTCCGGAGGACAATGTGGTCCCAAATGTTCTCTATTGGGTTCAAATCCGGTCTACAAGCTGGCCAGTGCTTGCGGGTGACACTTCGCTGCTGCAGGAAACCCCCCACGATGCGCTCGCGATGTGGCGTGGCATTATCGTCCTGCAGAACAGCCTAGGGTCCAATCTGCTGCAGGAGAGGAACAGCAAGAGGACGCAGGATTTCGTCCCTGTACTTTCCTGCAGTTAAATCGCCCCGTATATTGTACAGGGGGGGGGGGGTACTACGGTGAGCTGAGAAGCCTCCCCACACCAGAACGGACCCTCCACCGAAGTGTGCCACCGACTGGGTGCAATCGTGGTAGAAACACTCTCCTCGGCGCCTCCAGACGTTGGCTCGCCTGTTTGGATGCAGCAGGTTGAATCTGGATTCGTCAGGGAAGACTACCTGGACTCACTGGCATCGTGTCCACTGTGAAAAGCGAGCAGACCACACCCAGAGAGCTGTATGGGGGGGGGGGGGGGGGGGAGGGCGATGTGTGCCTTCAGTACCTGGCAGGGACACGGGAAGCAAACCTGGCTCTACGGAGACGTCCCCTTGCTCATATTGACATTGGCTGTCACCCATAGTTGGCCACTTATGCAGTTTGGTGGGTCGTGACGTCACTGCCTGTCTGACGTTGAACCGGTCGATCTTGTATTTGGTCAAACGAGGCCGCCCTTGTCGAGGCCTGTCCTGGACCCTTCCGGTCGCTCTCCATCGTTCTTGCAACCTTCATATGAATGACGGGGATACTCCAAGTCTACGTGCAACGACTCGGAACGTTGAGCCATCTTGGAGCCAGGCAAGGGCTCGTTCTATGTCGACATCAGGCAGCGAAGGTCGTTGGACCATCGTGTTATGCAATTCGCGAAATACATAAATGGATGTATAGTCATTTACATAACATTGTACTGAACATGAATCTACTGAGATAATAATGATGCTATTAATTAATGTGTCTTTAAATTTATTTATTTTTAGTTTAGACTCAGATGTTGTATGTCTCAAGAGTTGGGGAAGAGAGTTCCAAACTGATGGAGCAAGGTGGGCAAACGATCCTGTATGAAACCAGTAAAACAGACATTTTTGATATTACAATTTACTTTTTCTGCTTTTTAATCTTCTGTTGCTGAGGGGAGATGCAATTCCCTATGGTAGGCCAACTCGGAAGCTCTTTCAATTGAGATGTTGTAGTTTCTCATAGTTACCATGACTCCCTTATACCATATTTACGTGGCCTACCTCTCTCTTCCCCCCCCCCTCTCTTTCTCTCTTTCTCTTGCCCTCTCTCTTGTTCTTTCTCTCTTGCTCTCTCTCTCTCTCTCTCTCTCTCTCTCTCTCTCTCTCTCTCTCTCTCTCTCTCTTGGGTATTTGGCATTATAAGGTCTCGAAGCTGGTTGACAAGGTGACATTCGTAACAGGTCACACATAGATAGTCGTTCTCCAGCATTAATTGAACCAGGACAGGACTCATTGTCAAAAGTTGCTCTTACACTTCCATTTCTCTGCCTGTGATATTGGCCGGTCAAATCAAGTAGTGGCAAATAGGCAGGAGCGTCGCAAATTGGCCTAGACCAGTCGCGTAGCGTCATGTTACTGATTATGCCGAATCAGAGGAGATTCCCATGAATGTGCAAAGGATAAAGAGGAGTAACGAGTTATTGATAAAACTAAATGGTTACCCTGCCCCCCTTTCCAAACTGCTTGACTGAACACAAAACATCCAGGGTCACCGTGGAGTCAAGTTGGGTCACCGGTGTCTGTGTTGTAACGGTAAGGCGCTTAGCTGTTTCAC